TATCCGATATGACCTGATATTTTCAATATTTACTTATTTTTATGATATATCTATCAGAATAAAATGATTGTCTAATCACGCTGGACATAGAACCACAAAGAGTTAATGATATTTCGCAAAATACGATTGACTTTATTACTGCCACAGTAGATAAGAAAATTTGTAGTCAGACACGAGCATATATTCTGTGCACGTCTTATTTATGTAACTAGTATCCTACACTAAATTTCTACAAACACTTCTTACACCATTAAATTGATATTGTTAGCGAAATGTTGCAAAATACAGGTAGCTGTTGATTTTAATAATGTCGCAGTAGATAAGAAAGTTTGTAGTCAGACAGGGCATATATTCTGTGCACGTCTTATTTATGTAACTAGTATCCTACACTAAATTTCTACAAACACTTCTTGCACCATTAAATTGATATTGTTAGCGAAATGTATTGAAATGTTAGCAAAATACAGGTAGCTGTTGATTTTAATACTGCCACAGTAGATAAGAAAATTTGTAGTCAGACACGAGCATATATTCTGTGCACGTCTTATTTATGTAACTAGTATCCTACACTAAATTTCTACAAATACTTCTTGCACCATTAAATTGATATTTTTAGCGAAATGTTGCAAAATACAGGTACCTGTTGATTTTAATAATGTCGCAGTAGATGAGGATGCTTATAGTCAGACATGAGGAGATATGACTAGATAATATAAAATGTGCTCTTCATGCGAGCGATATGTACTAAATTCTTGTAGTTATTTTGGAACATTAAATTGATATTACGTATATCAAATGTAATCTACAAACCTTTGTAGGTAAGAATAAGTAACAGTTAAATAATCTTAATACTCTCACAGTAGATAAGAATGTTTATAGTCGGACACGAGAAGATATTAAAACTAGGCAGTACAGAGTGTGTTCTTCACACAATCGGTATATATTAAATTCCTGTGATTCTTTTGGGATTAAATTGATATTCCGGATAATTATTTTCAAGCTGTTATTATATATGATTAACTCCGTATTCTAACTGCGTTCTAACAGCGACTTTATGCTTCTGAACACGTGGATGTAATATTTATGTTTCGAATAATGTTAGTTTTATTATTTGATTATTTAGATTCACACTGATGCTACTACAACTGTGATAAATCAAATGTTAGTGGGACCTAATCTAGAATCATAAAGTCGCTGTTAGAACGCACTGTTAATTGATTAAGAAACTTTTCTGCCATTTTTCATGAGAACTATTAGGTTGCGACCTATGGTTCCTTGGAGAAGTTTTACCTTCGTGATGAGTAGAATACAATGCAAAAAAAGAAAAATTTTTTTGATCTTCAAATCAAAGGTCAAGGTCAATTCATTTACGATAGCCACGGACAAACTTTTCTTCCCACCTTGTACGAAAGAAAAAAAGATAACAATAAAGAGTACAGCTCGGTAGAAGATTCGAATCAACTGTGGGATATTTGCAAATCGTGCCTACAAAGCTAACGATAGACAAGCTTCGCCGTTCTTACTCTTAAGCGAGATTTTTGAAAGTCACGAGGCAGAAAATTTTCTCGACGTAGGTTACTCTCGCGAAACGAAGGCAGCAATCTCGAATCCATCCAGATGATTTGGACGTGGAAAGCAGCGTCGTCGTATCGCACGCGGCAGGAATAACTTTGCCATTGTTTCGCCGTAAAGCCGCGTCGGCTGGCATCCCCAGCGACAATACGAAGAACCAAACGCGGAGGCAGATGGCCGAGACGCGGCGGCGTAAATTTAAAGTTGCCATTATTGCCAGTCCGGGGACACGCGGCTGAATCCGGCGCGAGTACCGGCGTGTCCGACATTGTTCCGCAGCCGCGTGTACGATACGATTAAGTTGGAAACCAAGGGAAAATTTTCAACAGTTTTATTATCCGCGTAACTGGGTCGCGAATACCTAAAGTGAACTTCACATTGGCTGTAAGTGCCATCTTGAACTCTTAGCGGTCGTATCATTCGATCAACCATTGCTTTTAAAAGAGCATAAGAATCTCTCCTGTCCTTTCGTCTTTACACACGTAAATTCAAGGCCAAATTAAAGACTGATCAACTGATTCCTCTTAGAAATGTCATCGACATTGCAATAATTCATTTTCAGTGCAGAATATATTTTTAAACGAAGATTATTGTGCTATTTGTTACATTGCAGAGCTTCCTCCAGTTCTTTGCACTTTAAATTTTTTTCTGATCCAAGATACGAAACTTTGATCGTCGGTGGTTGAAGAAAGGAAGGGAAATGGCTGCGAAACGAGATAAAACACCGCAGGTGAAACGAACTATGACTGAATACGGAATTCATCAAATCGATCGATAACGATCGTTCTATCGTTGCGCGCGATTACACGAATCCGACCTCGGTTCGACGGAAATTAATACGGTCCAAGTTGTCTCGTTTATATCGCTACCTGATTATCTTCATTTCCTGGCGCGAAATTCCCCGAAGATGAAGCTTCGATCTCGCGCTATCGACAGCATCGATCGACAAGCGTTTCCGAAGACTGCGGATCTTCCTTCGCAGAGTTCAAGATCGCGATAAAGGAGGACAGTGATAAAAACAAATGGCCAATTTTGGAGCTGGCTGCCAACCCAGTTTTTCTTTTTCTTTTTTTTTTTTTTGGAAGTTATTCCACGCGTTGGAGATAATGAGAAAATTTTAAAAAAAATAGGCATAAACTTATTATTATCAAATCTCGTTGATCATCGTAGTTATCTTCGAACGATGATGAATGGATGAAATAAGGATTCAGAAAACAATTCAATTCTGTGGATTGGAATTTATCCTAGCCGAAAAATAAATTAAAAATTGTTACAATGCAGGGGCAACGATCGAGAATCTGTCGACACTTCTATATTCGAATATTTAACTTATATAACTATTATAATTTTATAAACAAAAAGAAAGAAAGTCGTGCAACATTCGTCATGTTATTGAATTTCGAATTTCTTGAATTTCAACCTGATAATTGAAGTTAAATGAAAAAAAGTTTCCAGAAATCGTTGTAAAGAAGTTGCTTCGATCTCCAAATCCATAGTAGATTCAGTTATGAAAAAAAATTTTTACAATATATTTATTGTATCTTCACTTACCAATTCATTACGTGCTGAAAGAACGTTCTAGAATAAAATGAACAACATTTTGAAAGGAATTGAGCTTTAAAATGAGCCCAAGCTTATTTATCATCGTACGATAGTGTTTGAATATTAATAGAATTCACTGTATCTGAAGATATTTCGAAGATGTTTAATATACAAGACGAATTCTGCACTTTTTTACAATTTTATAATTTTTCTGGATAAGGGTAAACATCAGTCCACAGAATTAGATTGTTTCATCATCCGAGGGAAACAACAACGATTTTTCAACAATATTTAATAAACATTTTTTAATGGCAATATTTCAAAGTTTACATCTACTTTTTCCCAACTTTCTCATCATCTCCAGGATGAATAATTAAGCACTTTGGATTCCTTAAAAAAATGTAGAATAATAGTCTTGTGAAAAAATGGCCAAATTTTTACCACTTTTTTCCTTTTCCAATTCTGGTCGATCCTGAATTAGTTTCTGTGTCGACTCAACAGAGAATCGAGCGTCGTCGCATTTGGTTGAACAGAACCGGCAGAGATAAAAAGAACAGTTTCATAGACAATCCTTGCAACGACGCATTGTCAAACACTTGAAGCTGGTGCGACTTGTTCAAAGAAGTGTCAGATATGAAAAGTTCGAAGGATAGACTAAAGACAGTAGTTTTCCCGACCATCGTACGTGTGTCCGATGCTTCTTCGCGTTCTCGTTTCTGATTTATGAAATCGATCGTGAAAGAATGCTCTTCGTGTTTCATGGCGATCTCGTAACGTGTACATAAAAGAGAAATTTTCCGTTTCTCTTTCAAACAATGAACTAAACGCACCGTACATAATATGGCCACGAAACATTCGCAGCTATATGGCGAGCCAAAAGTTTCTTCCTACCTATTTTTTTTTTTTCTTTTAATAAATGTCAAAACATAAGTCATAAATATAAGAAAATGTAGGAAAAAATTAATACAAGAAGAAATTGATTTTATTAATTTTTAATAAATTATTTTTATTGATTATTAAATAAATTTCATCATGTTTTAAAAATTATTTCTTTCAAATGTTAACCATGCCAGAACGTTTGTAAATTAAAAAAAAAAATATATATATATATATATAATGAAAATATTATGATTTGCGATTTATTTTAGTAGGAAGTGATTTTTGGCCCACTCTATGTTACAATGAAAAAAAAAAAAAAACGCCACAAAATAGCAATTATTCTTTCTGCTGGAATATTGTTGATTACTAAAGTGACAGAAAAATTGTTTTCAATATTGCCAATAACCATTATTGACGTGGGAAATTTATTTCGGTTGCTCGTAATAATTATCGGTAATTTATAACAAAATTTTGTGAAGTCAATTTATATAAAGGGAAATTTATTTCGGTTCTGTTTCTTCACTAATTTTCGCGTTATTATTACATTGGGAAAGTAACTCTACGATTTTTAGTGTTTTTAACGCGATTACGGAGAATTGTTCGAGTCGAATGGAAGAAGCAATATAGTAGCCTTCGGTTAAACGTCCGTACTTTTTCCCAGTTAAACGTCTGTCGCTATCCCCACCAATTCTTGAAATTGGGACTATTCTCTACCTTACCTACTCAACGCTATTTTACCATGCGACCGCATGGAACATGCAATTTGCACGAAACATGCAATATATGGCAGTGCCCTCATAAGCGTTTCACTATACCACCACTCTTAACCTCTTACGGTGGAATGCGACGCACGTTGAGAATTTTTTGTCCTAAAATTGCAATATTTTCTTGCAATATTACCCAGGCAAAACAAATAATGAATTTATTAATTCTTAGAATAATTTCTATCATACTGACGAGGTCAAAAGGAAAGCGACGAATTATTGCATACGGTTTGGTCACTCGTTATGGTCCGCGAACCAGTTGCCAACTTAACCTCTTACGGTGGAATGCCACGCACGTTGAGAATTTTTTGTCCTAAAATTGCAATATTTTCTTGCAATATAACCCAGGTAAAACAAATAATGAATTTATTAATTCTTAGAATAATTTCTATCATACCGACGAGGTCAAAAGGAAAGCGACGAATTATTGTATACGGTTTGGTCACTCGTTATGGTCCGCGAACCAGTTGCCAACGTAACGGGTTAAACGTCCGTTTTCGGTCCTAAACTGTGGACGCTTAATTGGGGGACTACTATATTTTACGCTTTACGCTATTGCGAGCAATCAAGACAGAGTTTTCTTCGTCGATAAGTATGAGTGCGATCGAAATAAAATTTTTTTCACTGATAACTGTTATTATGTTAATGTAAACGATCTAAGTAGATGTTCCTCTCGTCATTAACGATCATCGAAACAACGAACCAAATTTTCCGTCGCTTTTTTCGATTAATTGTTATGTGTAACTAGATAACGTTCAATCGCATAGTTTCTTTTGAAAAATTCCCTTCACATCTTGAGATCAATGTCCTTTGACTTGAGCGAAGGACACTCGAGGTTTTACAAAATCTTCGTTGCAAAAAACCGACGATAAACTTAATTTATCCAACGAACTTGCCGCACTGGTTTCAAAGTTCAAAGATCCAGAAATTTCAGTATTTCAGCGGCAGTTTATTATCCATTACGGAATATCTGGCACGACGTCGAAGCAAAATTCAGCTTTCGAAAAGGACAGTTTACAAGTGACGCACGAGGGCGAACAAATTAAAAGCTCTTCGCGAGTTTATTAATAAACGTTTCCTCTTCCTCCTTCTCTGCTCCTCCTCTCGCCCTCTCCGCGATAGGGAAGCCACGATACATGTATACACATGCGATATTCGAGCATCAAAAACTGATAATTAATTGAACGAAACGCGTGCCAGCAACCATTTACGTGATCGAGTTTTACGTAATAAACTCTCGCCTCTGTAACATAATAGCACGACGCAGCATCGCTGCGTTTGAAATAACAATTCTGACAAAAGAAATGGCAATTGTGCCCCTACATAATGCCTTTATCCGTGCCTTCCCTCCTGGAAATGGATCCTTCAATCGCGTGACAACCGGCTAGTTTGAATCCGAAATAAAATCCTGTCCGTGCGATAATTGCAACAATAGGATTATACATTATACTTAAACGCAAGTGTCAGTTCGAACTGAGGGGGACTGAATACACAGCGAGTATTTTGAACTGCTACGATTTATGTGGGAATAATTTTGCAAAAGAAACATCGAGAACGACCGAGCACATTTTACAGAAGTCTGTATTTGACGAAGTATCGTACACCGAGATGCTTTCATACTGTATGATAGATGCTTTCCTTCTCGAAAATGCTATGAATTTGAAGATTGAAGCCTCCTCTTTGCGACGATATTCTCAAAATTCGCTGTTACGATCTCCATTTTCGCCAATTTATTAAACTTCGAATATCGGACGGAAACGAATTAGCCACGAAATTTCTTGAATTTCTTGAATTTCTTCGTCAACTAAAACTAATGTTCAAAGTTCAATGAAAAAAAAAAAAGAAATTACACATCAAAGCTTAAGGGGTTACGAAAAGGGGGCTTCAATCATCAAATTCATCGTAGACTCATTATCAGTCATGAAAAAAATTACTCAATGTTTTTACGTACAATGATAGTATACCAACCTGCTATATTGTGTAAAAATATTTTAGAATGAAATAAATCATACCTTAATGGATCATATCTAAAATGAATCATAAACGTTTTAAAATAAAATGAATCATCACTTTGAAGTATATATACTCACTATAGTGCCCGGATTTATTGTTGTGCGATCTTTTCTACAAAATTATAATAGTTTGAACATTAAGTAAATAAATATAATTTTAATATTATAAATGTATAATTTTAATATTATAAATATAATTTTAATATTATAATATATAAAGTAAAATAATATTTATATGTTAAAAGAAATATTATACAAATTTTATATTATATAGAAGAAAATTTACACCATAATATTATATATTATAATTTATTTATAAATATACCGCAACGCTTTTAGAATATCATAAAATTATAATAGTTTAAGCAGCGTCCAAATATCGATATTTTCTCTCAGCTCTTTGGGAAACGCAGCAGGAGAATCGAGCTGGACGTCATCGCAAGCTTCATATAGTGGACGAAGTTATTGACTGACGAAAGAGTCTATAAATTTTCGTTTTAATCACATGTTCAACCGTTCTGTGGGAACGTTTAACCGTATTTTCCAAGTACGTACGTACGCTCGAAACGTGTATACGTTTATAGTACTTCGTGGACACATTTATCGAACGTTTATATAAACGTTCATGGCGCTACGCTCGAAGTGGTTGACCCACTTGAATCACTCGTTTCATTGATAAAAATGACCGAATTCCTTCAAGCATAAAAGTGTCAAGTTTTCGCCATTATTCTTGATTATTTTACAATTTCACATGCAACGAAGTGGGAAAAAAAACAAGCGTCGACGACTTATTATTGAGTAAATTAAACAATTTTATAAACAGCATTATCCAATGGCATTATTATTCAATATTATAAATTATAAATATTATTTAATAATACTATTTATATTATTTCATAATAATTTAATAATACTATTCATATTATTTAATAGTTTATAATAATAAATTATAATTAATAATATTATTCAATGGTATTATCATTCAGTATTACAAATAGTATTTGTGATTAGTATTTTTATAAATGTTATTATTGAATAAAAGTGAGTTTCGCGAGATCGTGATCGCATCGACGACCGAAATGGCCTTACAAATCAAACTTAATCAAAGTAGAGTGTGCGTTTGCGTGACGACTTAACCGTGTACACGGTAGCAAATGAAGGGAGCCATTTGTTTAAAGGATCTCCAGTTACTTATCTAAGCACGACACTCGAACTGAGACGTTTGCGTGGAATATTTGTCGCCTCGAACGTTAAGCAAATGAGCGAAAGAACTTGGAAAGTCATTACGAATGCTGGAATATTAAAGGAAGGAAAAAAGTAATCGGTAATAGAGAAAATGAGGCGTGCAAAATGGCCCCTGACTTGGCTTTGCTCACTTTTTAAACTGAAGATATATATTAGGTACGTGATCTTGGATATTTAAATCTTTTAATTTCTCCAAAAGAGAAAAAGGTAATTGGTAATAGAGAAAACGAGGCATAAAATGGCCCTTGATTTGGCTTTGCTCACTTTTTAAACTGAAGATATATATTAGGTACATGATCTTGGATATTTAAATCTTTTAATTTCTCCAAAAAAGAAAAAGGTAATTGGTAATAGAGAAAACGAGGCGTAAAATGGCCCTTAAGTTGGCTTTGATCACTTTTTAAACTGGAAATATATATATTAGGTGCACGATGTAGTATATCCGAATTTTTTTCCTTTTAATTTCTCGCAACAAACTCGCAAAATCAATATCTAGCCGCGACTCTCCAAACGTTGTTATTTTCGCCCTGTGTACCTGGGGGAAAAAAATATTCGCCCAAAAATACGGTTAGCGGCTATCAGAGACACAGAGGCGACGAGAAAGTTTGTTAAAACCAGCTCGACCTTTCGCCACTGTTCGTCGCTGGGCGACGAAGTTCGGATCGCCTGCGAGTTAAATTATTTACGGGCGCGATTCGTTCGCGCCGAGTACGAATGTCAGGCAAAAATGGCGCGAAAATACTCCTCCGTTCAAAACCTCGTACCTCGCCCGAGGAGAAAAAATGCCAGTCGCGTTCTTCGTCCGTAACCTCGTTCAATCAGACGGTCTTGTTTGAAGAAATTCTTCCTCGCGCGCGATAATTGGCGATCGCGTCGAACTTAATCGAACTTGATCAAATTTCATCGTACCTGCAGACTTTGTCGTGCCTCCATTTGCAATGCGCAACTCGAGCCCTCGTCTTGTCACTAATTAATGCAGTTACAACCGAATAAAAAATCACCCTTGGGTGCTTCTCTCTGCTTCTTTTTTTTTTTTCTTTCTTTCGTTCTTTCTTTTTTACGCTGCCTTGTTATTTGCATATTACACGACCCCGTGTGCACAATTTTATCGCGCTCGTTAAAGGAAAGTGGGACGGATCCTACCAACGTTGCACGTTGCAACCGCCGCTGTAGAATTACAGTACGACACACGCACGTACGTACATACACGCGACGATTCTTCTGTAATTCTGTTCCCGAAAAATCGCGCGCAGTTCGAACGAAAGCCAATTGACGAACGAACGGGAGGCAAATTTTCGTCGGCGAGAGAAACAGAGACGGATGCTGCGGATCTAATGGACAGATATTACGCAAATTGCTCGCAACGCCGCGTTGTAAAAGCGGTTGCAAGTTTTGGAAAACTCGTGCCAGTTGACGTAATTAATATTCTGGATAAACGCGAGCTCGAACGCTGGCGAAACTTTCCCGAGGAACTCTCTGACGTTTTGGGAACGACGAAGAGAACGTTTCAGTCGATTTAGCCGACCGAACGTAAAAAACGGTTGTAACATAAGAACCAGATTACTGGGGACAGGTATTTTAGACACCGTTTTGCTTTTCACTGCGGTCGTATAGCGCGTTCATTTCCGAGGTTTACGATCGTACAGGGTGTCCCGAATTTAAATTGAACTTCGGGAATGCGTTTGCCCATGGCTCTCGTAAATGAATTCTACACCCTCGATTTGATGGAAATAATTGAAGCAAAATTAACCTTCATCTTGAATTTCAAAATTTCTTTTTTCTTTTTACATTGTATTTTACTCTGTCACGAAGGTAGAAACTTCTCCAAGGAATATAACCTAAAAGTTTCCTTGAAAAATGGCAAAAAAGTTTCTTAGTCATTTAACACTGCGTACTAACAGCGACTTTATACTTCTTTGATGCGTGGATGTGATGTTTATATTTCGATTAATGTTAGTTTGATCATTTGATTATGTAGAATCACGCTGATGCTGCAACTATGTGAAACGTAATACAAAAATTATGTAAAATAGACACGCGTTCAGAATAATAAAGTCGCTGTTAGCACGCTTCTTAAGTGATTGAGAAATTTTTTTTGCCATTTTCCAAGAGAATTTTTAGATTGGAAAAGTTTTACCTTCGTGATGAGTGGAATACGATGCAAAGAAAAAACATTTTTTTGACCTTGAAATTCAAGATCAATCTTGCGGCAAGTTCTTTAC